TTTGAAAAATGTGTCATGTTCAAAATGATACAATAGAAAAGAAGTATAGGCAGCTATGTTAAGACCTGTATTACTTGGTTAAGACTTTGACATTCATAAGTAATGCACCTATAACATTAATGCCAGTTAAGGTTTTATGTCACACAGTCCTGGTTTCGTGTCCCGCTTTGGCTTTGCATCCTTCTGCCTTCGCAGCTTTTTATAATGAATAAGGCAGATCTAACTCAATGGTAGGTATTTATGGCAATTCAGTATGTAGTCTTTTATGAATACTTAGTTTTTATCAATAACTAGTAATAACTGAAACTACAGTATTTGTTTCAAGCAACTTCATATATAATTATTTTCTGTCTAGCTGCATTCAAAATTGTGAAGAGTTGGCTTGGTCCAGAGGCAGTAAACATGTTGAAGTTCACAAATAAGAATGATGTCCAGATCTACATCAATGCAGAGTATTTACCCCCTCATATGGGTGGAACTGTAAGTATATTGGAAGTTCAAAATACTTTGTAAATGCAATTTTTTTAATCCAATTTATTTCTTGTGTGCATATAATATGCATTTATATTATATAGGGACTTACCTAATTCATGAGGACTGCCCCTATTTCTCTCCCCGCCACAATTTCATGGTACAAGCACAGCACCAGTCGCCACTTTTTTGCAGCGGAGCATGGCAGGACCTTTTGTGCCTGTGGCCCTGGGGCCTCCGCAGCCTAGTGGGTGGGACCCAGTGCAGCAGGGCAGAGTGGAACTCGGTGGAGAAGCTTGTTACTGCTGCTAGGAGATCCATGCCACCATGGGAAGGTGCCCCCTGCCTGCCCAGCAGCAGCAGGGTTGGTAGGGCAGCGTTGTGCCCTTCACTGCTACTAGGTGGGCAGGGAGCTCCTTACCATGGTAGCATGGAGCTCTCAGCAGTGTAAACTAGCTTCCCTACCCGGGTCCAGCTGTGCCCTGCTATGCCAGGTCCCACCTGTTGGACTGCAGAGGCCCCAGAAGGAGAGCAGCAGGGCAGGAGGGCCCAAGCCTGCAACAGAAAGCCCCCTCCACCCTGCTCACAAATCTGGGGGACACGTGCCACCCATGACTCCCCTGATAGTGTGTGCAATGGTGGGGAGCCAGCAGACTGCTTGTCCTACCCCACCCCCAGGACAAGCAGTCTGCATCCCTATCCCACTCCATGCCTGGGCCCTGTGGCTAGGCATTCCAGGCCCTAAGCCCCATGCACTGCTCCAGCTGAGCAGCACTCCCAGCCCTGCCCAACTCCCTATGGGGGCCTCAATTCCTCCACTCACCACCACCAGACTTACCTGCTGGGAGCTGCTCTCCAGACTTCCTGGCGGCCATATGCATGTGTGAGCATGCACATGCATATGGCGCCTCCTGTCTGTCCACCCTCCCCCCCTTTTTCCCCAGCTCCTCGCAGGTTGGAACTCTGCCGGCCTGTGAGGGGAAACTCACTGTTTCCTGCATTTTTCTTCTTTAAAATGAGAAAATCCAGATTTTACTGCTTTTTTTCTGTGGCAAACGAAAAATGCAGATCCCTGCCAATTGTATACATGCACTGCCATGGAACCAGCCACCATTTTGTAGGTATAATTATAAGTAGATATACTGTGACAAGATGAGAGTACATTTGATGCTAGTAAGTCACAAATTTAATTGTTTAATAATAAAGTTAACATTCAGTAGCCTTAACTAATTTCTAAATCTTTCTATATTAAGAGTAAAAAAGATTTCATAGCTGTTTTTAGTAACTTGATGACTTATTTCAGTGGAACGTAAGATAATTTTCATCCTTTTTGAAAGGAAAACCTTATTGAATTCTGATGTCTGTATATTTTTGATGTTATCCCCCATAAATGGAGGAAAGGAAAGTTTTATATAGGGTTTGCCCCACTGAAGTATAAAGACTGGCCAGTGTCTTTGCCTTGTTTGGACCAGGAAAGACAATTCCGTCCTTTTCAGTTTTATTGCCCCTCTGCCAAGATGTCTGAAGACACAGGAGCTCAAGAAGGCTAATTCAGAAGGATGTTAAGAGTCTAGCTGTTTGTATTGCATTCAAGTACTGCATTATTAGTAGAAGGACATTTGGCATCAGCCTCCAGTCCCTTCCCCCCTCCACTCCCCTTTCTTTCTTCCACCTAACCCAAGTACGTTTGTGCTCAGGGTTTCCAAGTGACCATGCCGACCTGTCTGCTCCACAGATTCTCCTAAGGTACATCCAAATAGTTGATTATAAAGCAGCGCATACTTTATTTCAACCACTTGAGGAATAGCTTTGCCCAGCGGAACCTATTCTCTATGGTTATTCCACTGAGTTTTATTATTTAGAAGCTCTCACCAGTTCAACATTCACCAATTCAGATGTCTTCAGTGTATGTGAGGTCTTGATATTTAGATTGCTATACTGACCTAGCTTTCTTATTAAAAATATCCTCTGTAATCAGTGGATGATGTGTGTTGTATGGGCTAAAAGTTGGCGTTAAAGTAGCTTAATACATATAAATGCAGTATTAGTTCTTTAAACATTAATAGACAAGCCATTTTTATTTTACAAGTCAAATCATGGACTTAACTGCCTGTAGGATTTTCTTTGAAGCCAAAACAGTTACAGAAGTACAAAGAGTGTCTGAAAATCCAATTATTTTTTGTTGTTGAAGTTGGCTCTGTAATATAAAAGCATCTGAAACGATTCAAACCAAATATGACTCAGTGTTTTTCTTCACCTTAGGCTAATCCTTTAAATGCCTAGTTTCAAAACAGAACAAATTCTATAGCTCATTTGAGTATGTAAACCATGCCACTAGCTATAGTTTAGTAGCTTTAATTAGATGATTGTCATATTTTATTATGATAGTGGACAAAGCCCACAATAGTTAGTAAATCATCTTTTTGCATAAAGGTCCCCTGTAACACAAAATATATAAATAAAATATGTGAAGATAATGGATGAAAGAAAAGATTAACTCTTAAGATATATACTTCTTTAGAGTCGTGAAATTGCGTTTCCTTCCAATTGGTATACTTGTCTATTAAATCAAATTGTATTATAGGATACTTTCAAGTTTAGCTACCCTCCACTGGTTGATGATGACTTTCAAACTCCTTTGTGTGAAAATGGGCCCATTGCTAGTGAAGATGAAAATGAGAATAAAGAGGAGATGGAAGCAGACAGCAAGGAGACTACTGATTCCAATGAAGAACAAAGCCTTAATCCAAAAAAGGTATCTGTTAAGTCCAAAGGCTAAGAAAAAAACACTACATGAAAGGTTTGACAAGGGGTATTTATTCTGGTCAGTTTCTACAGAATTTGTTGAAAGGATTGAGTTTAACTTTAGAAAAAGAGCAGACTAGGGAAAATCATATATCTCTTTAATGTATAAAAGGCTGTTATATGGAGGAAGTTACAAACAGCTCTTTATGCTTGCTCGGGACAGGAAAAAAAGTAATAGATTTAAATTCCAACGAGGTGGATCTGTTAAATACTAGAAAAAAATAGAATGGAATTCAGAATTAGTGGGATAGACTGCCTCACTAGGGTTTTTTGTTTATTTAATGGACTCTAAATCACTATTGACAGGCAGCGGCCTATATACACATCAGGGGTGTCAGACTCATCTTATACCCTCGGCTAAATCCATACCACAGATTTCCTTGCAGGCCTGATTTAGCTCGGGGCATGGGGTGGTTCCAGCCTAAGGCTTTGGTGGCTTCAACTCCAGCTCTGACTTATGGTATGCAGCAGCTCTGGCTCCAGCACCATAGCATTACTCAAATGTCAGTATAGGGTACATGGTGGCACCTCCAGGATAGGGCCAGCGATCAACAAGATAGGGCTGTGGCAGTTGTGGTGACAAAGCAGCTGGAGGGCAGCCATGCCTGTATCAGCTTTTGATTATCCTCATGCCACTGACTTGCCATTTACACCAAGTCCCCTGAATTCAGCAGGCCACTCCCTCCAGGCCTCTGGCTATGTCCCCCAATTTCTGGAGACCCACTGGGGACCTGTGAGCTGGGATAGCTGATCCTGCTTTTAGGCAAGGGGTGGATTTAGGTGACTTTTAAGGTTCCTTTTATCCTAAGCTGAAGGCCGGAAGATGGAACATGAGCCACCAATGCAATGCCATGGCTGGCAAAGCAAACAAGACTCGGGAAGTCCTCGTTCCACTTTACTTGGCCTCGGTGAGACCACAGCTGGAATACTGTGTCCAGTTACATGCTCTGCAGTTCAGAAAAGATGGGGAGAAGCTTGAGAGAGTCCAGAGGAGAGCCATGTGAATGATTGGAGGACAAGAGAGCAGGCTTTATGAGGAGAGGCTGAGAGACATGGCACTCTTCAGCCTGGAGAAGCATAGGCTCAGGGGTGACTTGGTGGCAGCCTATAAGTACATAAGAGGTGTGCACCAGGAACTGAGAGAACATCTGTTCATCAGGGCACCCCATGGGAAGACTAAGCTCAACAATCACAAACTCTTGGAAGACTGCTTTAGACTGGACATAAGGAAAAACTTCTTTACTGCCTGAGTCCCCAGGGCCTGGAATAGACTCTTCCCACCCCACCCCACCCCACCCAGAGATGGTGCAGGCACCTACTATGGATTCCTTAAGAAACACTTGGATGCCTATCTTGCTGGGATCATTTGACCCCTGCTGACTGCCTGCCCTTTGGACAGGGGCTGGACCCGATGATCTTGTGAGGTCCTTTCCAGCCCTAATGTCCAGGAAATCTATAATTTTCTGTTAGGATATCTTTGCAGCTTTTAGTGAAAAACATGAGAATGATTTGCATTTATTTTATTTTTCAGTTCTGCTTCTTAAAGTTAAATATTGAACAGTTGATTTTTATGAACAGATTAAAATGTACAAAAAATTATTTAGTATTTCTGTACATAATATTCAGTGTCAGTCTTAACATTTAAAATGGAAAAAAGTGAATATACCCAAAAAGTGTGTTTTAAATTTTAATCTTTCCTCAAGTAGCTAATGCATTATTTAATAATATATCTCATTTTCTCAAAAGATGTTTTAATCACGAGAAAGTAGACAAAATGTAAGACTAACACTAGCATCTGGAGAGGTTGAGAGAGAAGAGTATGTTAGCCATTTTATTGATTGATTGCACAAATTCAGTTAACTTTTATATGGATCCAAAGGCAATGAAGGAAATGATTTGTGTAGAGGTAGCCTTAAAACCTATGCACAGCTTATTAAAATAGATCAAGATCTAGTTTTACTTAAATTTGTATTCCACTGTACAGTGGTGGTAGTCTATAGGAAATACTTTCCCTACAGCAAGGTTGGTCAACCCTCGGCTCATGGTCCAAATCCACCCTGCCGAGCCATGGCATCCAGCCTTTGGGGCTTCCCAAGGTTTGGGAAGTTTGACACCAGTGGAGCAGTGGCAATTTAATACTGCCACCTATCCCTGCTGCTGAAATTGCAAGAATTTGCAAGATCATGAGGCCAGGTCAGGCCAGGCCACACCTCTCCCTACCTCTCCCTGCTCAGCATTCAACTGGATTGGGGCTAGGCCACCTTCCTTCCCTCACCAGCCACAACGGGGCCAAAAGGGGCCCCAGACACTGTCCATCTGGCCCATGGGTTAAAAAGATTGAGCATCACTGCCCTAGACAATTACTGAAACTGCTATTGTAGTCCAGAATTTGGAATTCCCTACTAATATCATAATTTCTGCTTCACAATATGAATTTTAGAACTTGTATCCTTTAAGCGTAATAATCTTAATATTATTCTTTATTATTCTTTAGTCTATAAATATTCGTTATTTTAAGCTTTTATTTTTACAACTTGGACTGCCAGAGAAATAAAATTAGATTCATAGAGTTTAGTACCAGAAGGAACTATTAGAACATTTGGTCTAACTAAATAACTGCGTTGCGTGAGCCATTAAATTTCACCTTCTTACCCTATATTGGGCCCAGTAACTTGTGCTTGATTAAACCAATATTTCCTCAATTTCTCATGAACTATCGGCTATAATTAAAAAAAAAAAAATTAATTACATAAAAAGGACAGTGCCAGCTGTGGACTGCTTTGCCTTGGCTTAGTGCAGCAGAGTTTGGGAACTATTGGATTAAAGCATATCTTGTATTTGGCTGAAGCATAACTTCTAGAATGTCATCCCATCTTAATATGAAGGCATAAAGATACAGAGGCTCTGCCATTTTCTTTGTAGTTGATTATAAACAAGAACCACTCTTAACAGTGATGTTTTCATGTAACACCTAATCTAAATTTTGTCTAGCTTCAGCTTCTTACCATTGGATTTTGTTATGCCTCCACAAAACTAGCCAGTCCTCTGGGAGCTGTTATTTCCTTCAGGTGGAGGTACTGGCTCACTATAATCAAGGTACCTCTCCGTCTTCTGGATTACCTATGGAAGATTAATTCTTTAAGTTCTAAACTCTTGACTTGCTTAAAAGCATTTTCCTCTCGTCTTTGACTTACGTTTGTTGCATTTCTTCTTTGCACCCTCTCCCATTTTTCTGCATCTTTTTTAAATTATAGCCAAAGTTATGCATTTCATTGTTGGTGTCACCAGTGTCACAGAGATGAAACACCTTCCTATTTCTAGTTAGCATCTCGGTTCATGTATCTAAAAATTACATTACTTGTTTTGCTACAGCATGATATTGTTTTTGGCCATTATGACTCACAAGTCTGTTTCGGAATATCGGTTTTCCAAGAGAAAGTTAGGAATTGGTAGCATTTCTTGTTCCTATATGAGTGTGTCAAGTCTCTGCACTGTAAACTCTGATCTTGTGAGTCTCCATGACCCGGCGCAGGGCTCTCTTACTCACCTGCTATGTCTTGCTGGAAAATTACTTCAAGGAGGAGTTCAGTGGGGTATTGTCCTGCCCAGGACAGGTAGTACTCCCGCATCCAGTGTAGTCAACCTTGGGGCTCCGCCTTCCCTACACCCCTTCAACTCGCCAGCCGTGTAGTAGAGATTGTGCCATCAGTTGTCACCTCCTCAGGCCTCTGGACCAGCCCTTTGAGGCTTGGCCATACGTTGTATTTCTCCCAGGCTTATTCAGTATCTTTTTCACCGCCAAATGTCCATGTGACAATGCAGGTTTTCCCCGGTCACTGTGTTGGTGCTGATAGCAAAAGGGTAATGATCAAAATACTAAAGAAAGCAACTTAAATTCAGTCCTGGCCAGGTCTGACCTCCTGATCGGTCATTGAGGCTGGAGTCTGGCAGTATTCTCCCAGCAGCCATCCTCAGCTCCACTGCCTCACCTTTGAATATGGCGAGTCCTCAAACTGGAAACAAAATGAACAAAAGTAAAAAATAAAAAATAAAAAAATAAAAGTAGCCTGTTCAGAGCAGCCTTGCCAACTGGGTGCTCCAGCTTCTAGGTGCTGACTCCGCTTCAGCTTCTTCAGGGCTCGGCTGGCCCGTGATTGTCCTCGAGTTGCAGCTTCCCAGGCAACACTGCTCCCAGAGTGCTCCAGCCCTCTTTGTCCCTTGCCAGGCCTTTTAAACTTCCTGCGGTGGCACCAGAGGCTAACGTCATCAGCCTGGCACCACCAAACTTGATTGACATGCTTTAAGAGTCGACACAGCATCAGCTCATGCAGCTCCTGACCCCTCCCTGGCTCTCTCCCCAGTAAGTATCCTGAGGCTCCCGGGCTTCCCTGACCTGGTCCTGGGGTGCCTGGCTATGACCACGGGGTCTCCAGCTCTAGTGCGTGGCTCCAGCTGCCACAGAGTGTATTTTCATGTGCCTGGATTAAAAAGGAGTTTTTTTCATTGGGACCACAAATGTACATAGACTGCTTTGAATGAATGTAATTATTTACCACATTTATCAATATTATTGTGATCTGCACTTCTATCAGCTTTAGCTTTTATATTTACATCCAGATCATTGATTAAAATATTAAATAGTATCAGGCCTAGTATTGGACCCTGTAAAACAGTTAGAAAAATCCCATAATCAATTACAGTTCTTTATTATTTATTATTGTTTTGCAGTTGCTGCGTAATTGAGGCCAATAGTGTATAAACTAGAATCTTCCTTGGTGTCTGTATTTTTCATGTTTGAAAGTTTATAAAGACCTGTCCAAGTTGTTAAACATCTGGTATCTTTTTTAAAACATATTAAAAAGAAGTCTTGCCAGTGTATTTGATGCAGAAACATCTGCCTGACACTAATATATAGACAGATATATAGTTGATGACTGATAATATTATTTGCCCTTTATTTTTTCCTTAGATAAGTTTTGTAGAACAAATTTCCAAGCCAGAAGAAAATGACAAAACAGATTCCAAAGCAAAAAATGCAAAGAAAGCATTAACCACTTTTAAAGGACCTTTATTGCACATCAGGTAATAACATTCAATATTGCCTTTGTTCATTTTGTTAATTCTTTTCATCTTCTGTATAGGTCCTAGAATTTTTTATAAAACCACAAGAACTGAAATCAAGAATTACATTAATATTAGTCAATTCAAACGTGTCTTTTAGAAAAGCTTCTGGTTTTATTCTTTTGTTATAAAATCATTTGTTTTTGGATAAATTATTTGGTTGAGTTGTTTGCCCTGAAAACATGTTAAAAAGAAAATTATTTTATTTTAAATTAGTCCTGCAGAAGAGCTGTATTTTGGATCCAAAGAAACTGGAGAGAAGAAATGCCTGATCATTCTGACAAATGTGACTAAAAATATAGTGGCATTTAAGGTAAATAATTCATTGTTTTGCCTTACTAAACATACTTCTCTAGAAAGTGAAAATTTGCCAAAGTAAAATCTGTTGCATATCAAACCCACCCCAAAAAAGAGCTGGGCTGTCCAACTTGACAGCCCATGGATTGCATGTAGTTCACAAGGTGTTAAATTGCAGCTACCTGGCTGCCACTTCTCCCTATTGCTCCAGCTGCAACATAGTGCAGCTCACAGTGCTAGGGGAGCTCACAGCTGGGGCTATACAGCATGGTGCAGTAATGGAGCTTGTGGCTGGGCATGTGGTGCAATGGGGTGACGGGGTATATGCTGCAACTGTTAAAATTTACATGGGCTGTGAGAGTATTGAAAAT